GCTACAATATCCCTAGTACCACGACCCCTTCTAAACCCAGCCTGGACTTCTGGCAGTTCTCTGCTGGTGTGCTGTTCCAGTCGTTTTTGGATAATTTTCAGTAGAATCTTGCTTGAATGTGAAATCAATGATATTGGTCTGTAGTTTCCACACTCTGTTGGGTCACCCTTCTTTTGAATGGAAACAAATATAGATCTCTTCCAGTCAGTTGGCCAAGCGGTTGTTCTCCAGATTTCTTGGCACAACTTGGTGAGCACATCCAGAGCAGCATTTGTCGCCTGAAATATGTCAATTGGTATAACATCTATCCCTGGGGCCTTATTTTTTGCTATTTCCTTCAAAGCAGCTTGAACTTCTTCCTTCATCACCATAGGCTCTTGCTCATATGTTACTTCATTAGATTCTTCTGTGTCTGCCAATTCCTTTCGATACAATGACTTAGTATATTCTTTCCATCTTCGTTTGGTACTTCCTGGATCTTTTAATACTTTGCCTACAGCATCCTTGAGTATAGCAACTCGAGGTTTGAATTTGTTCTTCAGTTCCTTGAGCTTAAGAAATACTGAACGAGTTTGGCCCTTTTGATTTTCCAACTTTAGCTCTGCGCTTTACAAGTTCCAAAATCTGTTACAATAGCTCACAGACCACACATTGTTATTAAGTACCACCGAGTCAGAACCCACTGTAGCTGAACCCCTGGCAGGTGTTCAGAGATAATTAATTGCCCAGGAGGAGACTGCACATCCTTTTCCACTTGATCTTAGCCAAAACGTCGAGAAGTGATGCTCATCCTTTTCCCGTGGAAGAGCTAGTGGGTTCAAACCATGTGCCTTTGGGATTATAGTGCGGTTTCTTAGCACTAGACCACCAGAGCTCCCCAGAATCATATTAGGGGAGTCAAAAGGCTACAGTTCAGGTTCATAGCAGAATACAGTCACTCAGGACAGCTTCTGAAATGTGCTCACAGGTGCCTCAGCCTTGAGCTTCGTGGCTCTAGGCCAGTCCTGCCAATTATGGCTCTCCCATTCCCAGTCTTCCAACAAACTTAGGTAAGACCCTTGCTCTGGTTCCTCCTTGGAGTAGAAGTCCAAGGGCAGCTCCGTCTCATGTCAGGTCTCTGCTCCTCTGCTTTGGTTGTGGCTACTGTTGCTGTCAGTCTGGCTAATGCAAGAATCTCTGACCTGTGAAAGGTGTGCACTGTATGCCTGTTTCTTTGCTGGTGGTAAGACTCTCAAATTCTGCTGCTGGACCCACGCAATTAAATGGTGAGACTAGCCAATCCCCTTGTGGATAGGCTAACACACCCTATCTGCGTATTCCTGCCTTTCTACATGGCAAAAGTCAGTCAATGACTGAAAAAGCCATTTTGAACAATAAACCCTTAAAGCCACAGCAGGACAACATGTCAACACAATAGGACAGCAAAACTATTGTTGTTAAGTATTGTCTAGTTGCATGGTGACCCTAGTTAATAGAGCTGAACCCTGACCTGTCCTCTGCCATCTTCATCAACTCTCCCACACTTGAACCCATTGCTGCTGTCACTGTGTCAATCTCTCTCATCAGTGGTCTTACTCTCTTCCACTTTTCAAGGACCCTCCATCTTTCCAAGCACGATGTTTCTTTCCAAGGAATAGTTCCTCTAACCAACATGCCTCTAAACAGCGTGGTTTAAAATCAGGAAAGGTGTGTGCCAGGATTGTATCCTTTCCCCATACCTACTTAATCTGTATGCTAAGCAAATAACTTAAGAAGCTGCAATCTATGAAGAAGAATTTGAGAGCAGAACCAGAGGAAGATTCATTAACAGCCTGTGTTATGCAGATGACACAACCTTGCTTGCTGAAATTGAGGAGGACTTGAAGCACTTGCTGCATAAGATCAAAAACTACAGCCTTCAGTATGATTATATCTCATCATTAAGAATACAAATATCATCACCACTGGACCAATAAGCAACATCATGATAGAGAAAAGATTAAAATTGTCAGTGATTTAATCTTACTTAGATCTAGGATTAACATCTTTGATTATAACAGAAAATCAGGAAACAGGGCACTGGAAAGTCTGCACAGTGATGTCTGTTTGAGGACTAAGGTGCACCTGA